AGTACAAAGAGTTGGATGTTGTCTTGATATTTGTTAATTTTATATATTGAGAAATATGTTAAAAAATAGAAGTTTATTATTTAAAAAAATAATAATAAAAAACAACACACACAAAGTACCGAAAATTGGTACCGTTAAGTACCGGTGCCAATTCCAAGGTAGCGGATATTGGTACCGAACCAATTCAAATGCCAAAGGTACCCGTCCCTAATCAAAATACTGCCCAGGAGAATAAGATGGTGTACATTCTCAATCACTGAGATAAAACAAACAAGTTAAATTGAAAGCAACTTGACTTCTTTTTTTTATTTTTGAAAATGATTTGTTTCTCATTAGAGGAAATTTCTCAGATGAGAACAAAAAAGAAAATGTCCGTCCATTTTCTTCCACTTATCCGGGGTAGAGTCACGGGGGAAGCAGCCTAAGCACAGACACCCAGACTTCCCATTCTCCAGCCACTTGGACCAGCTCCTCATGGGAGAATCCCAAGGTCTTCACAGGCCAGCCGAGAGACATAGTCCCTCCAGTGTGTCCTGGGTCTTCCTCTGGACCTCCTCCCAGTGGGACGTGCCCGGAACACCTCACCAGGGAGGCGTCCAGGAGGCATCCTAACCAGATGCCCGAGCCACCTCACCTGGCTCCTCTCGACGTGGAGGAGCAGTGGCTCTACTCTGAGTCCCTCCTGGATGACTGAGCTTCTCACCCTATCTCTAAGGGAGAGCCCAGACACCCTGCGGAGGAAACTCATTTCGGCCGCTTGTATCCAGGATCTCGTTCATTTGGTCACTACACAAATCTCCTGACCATAGACGAGGTTAGGAACGTAGACTGACCGGTAAACCGAAAGCTTCACCTTCTGGCTCCCGCTTCACCATCACAGACCGGTACAGCGCCCGCATCACTGCAGACGCTCCACTTTTTCCATAATTTTAACTACGATGGAAAAGGTTTAAGGAAAAACCAACCAACATTTTGACCACTGTAGTAAATCTGTTCAGGTGAAACTACTATTGTTGATGGACTACCATAAAGTCCATCAAATTTACAAGATGTTTTCTTTATAATAAAAATAAATAAATAAATACTAACAGGGAATATCATAACTGTTAGCTAAAAAGAAATGTGGATAAGTTCAAACAGACCAAACACTTGAGGAAAACCCACTTTCAAGGTAACGATGTACATAATCTCTGAAATTTGGAGTTTGAAATAATAATAATCTGTTAATCATTTAAGGCTTTTATTGCCACACGTAAAAGAAAACTATGAAAAACAAAATGATGACTTCACTTCCTACTAATATTTAATGTGAAATAACTGATCAGACGAGTGACTGCTTCGGTTTGGACACCTGGTCATGCAGAATCTTCCCAAAATATTAAAGAAAACATTATTAAAGATAATATGGTGGAAGCCCTAAAGGTTTTTTACAAGAAACCACTGGCTTTTGAAGAAAACTGAACACTATTTAAGAAGAATCTTGAGGGCAGGACTGAATCAAGCTGCTGGTCCTCCTCTGCAGTCCGAAATCTGATACAGAAAAACTACAGATTGTTTTTGTTTCTTAAAACTCTAACAGAGTGAGACGTCTTCACTCTGGTGGATTGGACTACATCTCGTCAAACCAGATCAATACTTACACCTGATTAAACTCAGCAATTTGATCACATAGCTGAAGTTTAGACTCATTTAATCAAATCTAACATATACACTAAAATAATAAACGTTCTCAACAGGAAGTACAAGAGCTTTCAGAGTCTGTCTGAGGCTTTCTGATTGGCTGAAATCCTGTGAGTGACAGCAGGTAGGAGGGTCTGTTGCAATTGAAAATGTCCTCCCTTTCAGTCCACATGTGTGCCTAATTGTAGCGTCAGTCAGAGTGGAGTCTGAGGTCTGGCAGAGCATGCTGGGTAATTCAGACGTGCTTCAGGCTGACTGTTTCAGGCTCCACAGTGAGGATCCAGCAGCTTTTTTTAACCTTCATGGGAGCTGCTGGTGAATCTGTGAGAGCGAAACGCTTGTTTCTGCTCGTCGGTTTGGTCGACAGATTCTCTCACTGAACAACTTTACAGCCAACAATGAGTCACCGTATGTAAATATAGGAGTCTGTTCAAGACACTGACATAAAAAAAAACACAAATCCACGACCTATTACTATTTTGGATTTGCTTTTTATGAGCATTAAACAAAAATTATTGCCAAATGTTTTCACGACTAAACCTAAAGGCTGATGATTCTCATTCAAACTAAGAGAAATTTTACTTTCTTGGTCAGAAATTTACTTTTCTCAACCAATCTTTATCCTAATTTTTGTTGATAATCTTTCCTTGGGTTTGAAAACAATTCAAAGTGATAAACATGCAGAATGAAAGTGGTTAAAATGTTCACTGTTGTTTCAGTCTGCAGCAGGGAGGATTTGGACAATTTAGGATCAACGAAAGACGACTGGACCTTCTAAGATTAAAAGAGCTTAACCAACCTACTTTACATCTCATTCAACTACCATTTCTCACTTAATTGGTACTGCTATCATCCCACTGGCAATTCTTTTTAAAGTGAATATGATTACTGCAGATTATCAGAGACAGCTGCTGACCGAGTAGAAATGATGCAACAACAATCTGTGGGAATGTGTGGCGTGTCAGCTAAGAGAAGAAAACTACGCAATTTTCATTACAGCTTCCCTTAAATCTCAGTTCAGTGACTTTTCTGGGACCTCTCTGGTGTTTGTTGGTCTGAGGATTCAGATCAGAAGCTGCTGTTCTCTTGTTACCTGGAGTCATCACTGCTGCAGGTCCATGTGAACAGAAAACATCCTCATGGTTTGAGGAGCATTTTCATGGTTACCTGATCACCCTGACACACCACCCTGCAGGAGAACACCTGAGTTTATTTCACCGCTTTATTTCATTACAGCTGTGAAATAAATCAATTTATTCAACTCAGGATTAAGGTTTTCTACAGTTATTATGGATCTACTGCTAATTACGTTTCTATTTTTAAATATAAATATATATTTTTTCTTACTTATAGGATACCGACTGAATCGTCATTCCCACCTAAAATGTCCTGACAACCTTTCTAAGGTCACCTTAAATCAAAAACTCTTTATAATTCACCAGGATGCAATCAGTTAGTCACAAAAACTAAGAAATCTTCAATGTTAAAAAATATCAGGTGTCTTGTCACATTGAGTTTTTGTATTTTGTGTTCAACTCGTTACAGCATGTTATAGATTAAAAAAGTTTTGTTTAAACTAGTGGTGCAACAATACATGTATCTGTTTCAAATTGTTCAATACAGTGTTCTAGATCAGTGGTTCCCAAACTTTTTATCTTCTGACCCACAAAATATTCATGGCAAAAACTTTTGACCCCAAATATTACTGGTCTGAGTACAAAAACTTTGTTAATAACCCTAAAAACTCAGGCTTTTTAATAATCTAAACAGCTTGTACACAAATATAAATACATATTTATACTTATTTTGTGTTTTTGTAATAGTTATAGGGAAAACATTACATCAGCAATTATTTTATTACCCTTTAAATTGATTTCTGGAGATTATCCAAGGTGCTTCATGACCCATAATTGGGTCCCAAGCCCAACTTTGGGAACCAAAGTGCAGTGGTTCCCAAACTTTTCAGCTTTTGACCCACAAAATAACAGCAGCAGAGACCTGTGGCCCCAACTATTTTTGGATGATAAATATTTCTATCAGGTCAATAAAACCTATGCATAGTAACAATATTTATTATACTACATTTATCCATTTTAAATACACTAACCTCACTCCTTTGTAACAACTAAGGCAAAAAATGTACTTATTTCCTAAAATCTTTTCAGGACCCCACCTTGATGTTTCGGGACCCCACTTTGGGTCCCGACCCCAACTTTGGGAAACACTGCTCTAGATGCTCTGCGTTGCAGGATCAGTGGATCTGTGTTCGACTGCTCCACCTAGGCTGCACTGTAGAGCACAGATCCACTGAGAAACTTACTGTTTCAGCAACATTTAATTAAAAAACTGTACTTTCGAGGTTAAACAAATGATCATGTTGTCAGCTTCATCTTAGCACAAAAACTAAGTAAATTTGTGTTTGGTGGATTATTTTTTATTGTTGTAACAATGCTTCTTGGCAATAAATCTTATACTGGGCACCTGATTGGCAGCACCTGGGTAAACCAGCAGCTCTAAGAAGTGTCAATACAAACAGAAAAATACGATGTTTGCTAGAAGATTTGGCAAATTTTTCATGTGAACAACGAGGGGTATAAATCAGATTTATCACAAAGCGATTAATCAATTTGTTTGGATGATGATTTGATATTTCTACATTAAACAAAGTCTGTCACAATATGATTTGATTCAGTTCACAAGTCTGTGATCTATGGGGCATTTGATGACAATACAGACCATTTTTTTTTCATTTTACCCCTATATAATCAAATATTAACCATTATATCGATACATGATGTGGATCGATGTATTGTTACACCCCATGGACAACCCAGAAACTCAGATCTACTGCTACTCCCACAAATGCATATTCCTTACAAATGTGGTACCATTTCAAAGGGAAATTAACAGGCTTTTCAAAGGTATGAGATTTATTGCCAAAAAGCATTGTTACAACAAAGTATACCAAACTATTACATGTCCTTACTTTTTGTCTTAAGTTTATATATGTTGTGCTGCTACAGCGCCGAACACAAACCCAGACATCTTAACGAGACAAAGGTCAACCAACAGAACAGTAAATAATGTGAAACAAGACTGCTCCAAACTGCTCTTCCTCCTCCTGTTTGTCGTCCACTTTTACAACCTGAAGCTCTTCCAATAAAGCACCACCTCCCTCTAATTCACCGGCTTCCTAAAGGGATGTTTACCGTGCTGACTCAACGTTACCAGGGCACCAGCTGAACGCTTCCTGGTGAGATAATTAACAACCCCGTTAAAACCCTGAAGCAGACAGGGCAGAGCTGCTGATCAGACGACCGGACGACACATTTTTTTTTCTGTAGCCACTAATATTCAAGTAAAATCTCAATCATCAAATCAAATCATTGAAATTGTTTAAAAAAATCTTCTAATTTGAAATTTAGAGGCAAGTGATGTCAAAATACCTTTAAATCAAAACAGTTTTTCACAAAAATAGTAAATAAAAATAACCCAAAACATTTTAGCCCAGTTACAGCCAACAAAAACAGATGACAAAGACAACTGTAATAAAATCTACTTGTGTAGTTGAAGCACTCCTCAACACTCGTTGTCTATTTCCATATTTCTATTTCATCTCGTCAGACGCTGCAGCCCTTCTCCAGGTCGCCCTGACTGAAAGGATAAATCTTTTAGCGCAGCCGGAGTTTCATTCTGCGCTCCGCAGAGACGAAATAAACTCGGCTTCAAAGAGCTAATTTGTCTCCAGAGGGAATGAAGGATATTTCCGGAGAACAATGGCTGTTTGGAGCATTTAGCACCGCTGACAGCTCGAACTGTGCCATACAGGAAACGGTTTATGGGCTGAGAGGAAGTGAGAGCGGCAACAATCAGTTCAACAGCTTCCTGCAGGCAGGAGACGACAGCGAGAGTTTCTGAGCGACGAAAGCCTCGTTTTATAAAAATATGAGACAGAAAAATGACTGAAAACCAGCGGGATCAGGAGTTTATCATGACTCCAATATAAAACTGTTCCCTTAAAATAAAACAAATAAAGAAGCAGTTTTTGTTTATTTCTGAAACTGTTTTTCAGGCCGTGAAGGAAGTTTTCTTAAGTTAAACTAAATCTTACAGCTGATGTGTGAAACATGCAGTTCTGTCCATTTTGTTTTGTATTATTTTATCTCCTGGAGCTTCTTCTAATGTTTCAGGTTAATAAAACATGACTTTCTGTAACTGATTCCAGCTGGTTTTCTCTGTAATAAAACTCTCTTTACTTTGTGTCTCGTGCAGAAATAAAAGGATTTGATAAGACGACAGAGTTTCTCCCTTTCCTCTACAGATTACAGTGAGTCTGTCACCGGCAGCAGCTCTCTGATATCCAGCAGGTTCTTATCAACAGCTCTCTGTTTGGAGCTCAGTGATTGGGAAACTAGAAGGTGACCTTTCTCATGTTCTTGTTTCTCATGAACAAGCTGCTTCATTTTCCTGCCAACATTAAACAGAACCTCCTGCGTACGAACGAGAGGTTAAAACAAACACTTTCTGCAGAGTGAAGACAAAGTCTGATTAAAATCACTTCAGTGTGAAACACTTTAAAAACATAAATGTGACCCATCACATCAAAACAAGGATCGAGTCTAAAACTGAGACATGGAGAAATAGGCAGACGGCGTTTTGATTAAAACATTTGCAAAACTTACAATTTTGTTAAAATATAACAAAATAAATGCCTCGTCAATGCATCATTTGAATGAACTGTCTGAAAGATACACCCCCCCCCCCAAAAAAAAAAATAAATAAATAAAAAGAAATTTGAAGCACTTTTTTGAGTAGTAGCAACCAAAAACTGATTTTAGAGGAAAAAAACGCCTTAAAACGTTGAGATTTTCCTAGGGATTTAGCAAAGACTTTGTTTTTATTTCCAGCTGGGAAATCTCAACATTCAATTAATATTTGAGGTTTCCTCATTATTATAACATCAAAAATCCTCTTGAAAAAGACAAATTAGGATTCAGACCAAATAATAATGAATCATCGTAACCAACAAGACAAATTAAGTTATATCTCTGGATCTGCTTATATCAGGATGATCCAGGTGTCAAAATGTAGCTTTAAAACCAGCTATCTGAAAATGTGATTTGGTCATTTTGACCAAATTTGACTTAATTTTCGTTTCGATATGATGGGTCACAAATTCACATGGTTTTACTTCAAAATATTCTTGAAAAGAAACAAAAACACAAAAAAGAATCAAAAGAATCAAGTAAAAAAAAAAAGGTAAAGTAAAAAAACCCTTTTTTGCCTAACATTTTGACAACAAAAGTCCTGATTTGTTGCTTACTACAAAACTACACACATGCTCATTCTGATCACCAGATCAGATATGTCAATCTTTTTCCTTAGTATGTGTTGTTAAACATGGCTAAAGCCTTTTAAGTGTCTATAAGTTTTAGGTTGTTTAAACAGTTTCAGATGTTTTACTCTGAATTTTAGTGTTTTAAAATCCAGATAAGTTACACATTTAAAGGTTTGTCTCTCCTGGGATTTTATATTAAAATGTTACCTGAAGTACAAAAGATGTTTGTTAGTGACAGAGACTGAACTGGAAAACAGTCATTTAAACTGAATAAGAGACTAATTTTAAATCTCTTATGTTTGCTCACAGTCTGCATCAGGAAAACTGTCTTTTACTTTATTTAGAAATGTGTGTAATGAACCTAAAGGTCTGAGGATGTGTTTTTTTATTTGTTATTTCTAAATTAAAGCTCATTATTGTGCTGATTACAGAGAAGGGGCGTGGTTACTTTTTAAAACCAGTGCAGTTTTTCTTTTGTTTTTACCTTTTTAAGTTAATCCAGTTATATTTAGTTAAAATGATTTCCTTTAATGTGTAGAACAAAAGGTTTAAAGCAACACTTTGATGAACTGATAACAGGTCTGTAAACAGTTTGAAACAGACTTTAAATGTCTTACCATCAGTTCTGAGAGGAAGAAGAAGTGCAGCAAATATCAGGGCCAAACAAGACAGACCCGCCATCCTGCAGCCTGAACCTGGTCCTGCCTCAGTCTCTGTGCACGGAGTTCTGGACTGAGGAGACGCTACGATCTTGATTCAACTTTAACGTAAAGCAGGAGAAGCTGGAAACAGAGAGGAGTTCTGAGGGAGGAGCAGCAGGAGGCGACGTGACGAGCTTAAGGTTCTGATGGTGAAATCACAACAGGTCCATTTGAGTCTCACTGGTTCTTTGGGTCCAAAACCCTAGAAGAAGAGACAAACATGCAAGATTTTAATAAAACTGAACATAGGGGGGTCCTTTATTACCAGCTGTTAGCTCAGAGATTAAACCCTTATATTTCATGTGTATATCCTATTTAAAAATGGTAATCTGACTCATGCTAACATTTTACAACACAGAGATTAAAGCTGATCCAACCAAGACTAAAACATCCCTCATAAAATGTCCTGGTATTTATGAGCATACCACAACAAAATGTTCTTTTTTTTCTCCAACATCAACAAACATCTCTACATTTCAGTTCAGTAAAAACTTCTCATCAATTCACGCCAGTCTTTTACTTTCATAAAGATTGTTGTTGAATCATTTCCGATCAGGCGGCAGCTGTACGTAGTCTTCCAATGTTTCTGATGGAAACTTAGCAAAAATGTTTCATGATAAGGCCACATCCTACAGAGCTGGTCTATCAGCAGGTGTGTTAGAAACTTAGAACTAGTGCTGGGCGGTATACCGTTTTGTACCGAATACCGGTTTTTATTTTTGTTATGATATGAATTTTTTGAATACCGGACATTCCGGTTTAAATAGCGGAACGTTTCGTCGCGGCCGCCAGTGAACTGTTGTTTCCCGGGGGACATTTTTCCTTGCTGCACCGCTATGAGCGTTAGCATGCTAATGTTTGGAGCAGCTAGTTGCAGCCGCGGGTGGCGATTCAGCTGCTTATATTGACTGACGTTTAAAAAAACATCCCGTTTTCACCATCGCTGAATGTAGTAAACACCTCTTCAGTGACGTGCACAGTTAGATTTAACACGGTTAGTTAATATGGAGACGTTATACTGATGGAGACTTAATGTGCTTCTATTGTGAAAAGCCTGCAGGAAGTAGTTCGTAGTGGAATTGGAAATGAC